TCACTGGCCCTCATGTGGGATCCGAACCGGGGCCCTGCTGCTCAGAGCTGGCGTCCCAAGCCAACTCACAACCAACGCGCCCCTCGGCCGGCCCTTGTTGCTTGTTGTTTGTTGACTTATTGATGATGGCCGTTCTGACAGGAGTGAGGTGCTATCTCACTGTGGTTTTTATTTGTGTTTCTCTGATGTTTAGTGACATTGAGCATCTTTTCATATGGCTGTTGGCCATCTGTATGTCATCTTTGGAGAAATGCCTATTCAGGTCCTCTGCCCATTTTTTAAGTGAATTGTTTGGTTTTTTTGGTGTTGAATTGTGTAAGTTTTAAAATAAATTTTGGATATTTTAGATATATCATTGACAAATATCTTCTCCCATTTAGTAGGATGCTTTTTTGTTTTGTTGATGGTTTCCTTTGCTGTGAAGAAACTTTTTAGTGGGGTGTAGTCCCATTTGTTTCTTTTTTCTTTAGCTTCTCTTGCCAGAGGGGATAATATATCAGTAAAAATATTACTAAGGGTAATGTCTGCAAATTTACTTCCTATATTTTCTTCTAGGAGCTTTATGGTTTTGGGTCTTACATTTAAGTCTGTAATCCATTTTGAGTTTATTCTTGTATATGGCATAAGAAAGTAGTCCAGTTTCTTTTCTTTTTTTTTTTTTCATGTATCTGTCCGGTTTTCCCAGCACCATTTATTGAATAGACTGTCTTTACCCTAATGCAAATTCTTGCTTCGTCATAGATTAAGTGGCCATATAGGCATGGATTTATTCCTAGGCTCTGTATTCTATTCCATTGATCTATGTATCTGTTTTTATGCCAATACCATGCTGTTTGGATTATTATAGCCTTGTAGTATGATTTGATGTTGGGAAGCGTGATGCTTCTTTCTCAGGATTGCTGTGACTATTCGGCGTCTTTTATGGTTCCACATAAATTCTAGGGTTATTTGTTCTAATTCAGTGAAAAAATGCCACTGGTATTTTGATAGGGATTGCACTGAATCTATAGATCACTTAGGGCAGTATGGACATTTTAACTATATTAACTCTTCCTATTCATGAACATAGTGTATGTTTCCATTTATTTGTATTTTCTCTCTTCAGTGTCTTATAATTTTCTGACTATAGGTCTTTTACTTCCTTGGTTAAATTTATTTCTAAGTATTTTTTTATGCAATTATAAGTGGGATTTCTTTTTCTTTTTCTTTTTAAAGATTTTATTGAGGAATTTGGGAAGGGGAACAGCCAAGTTGTTGTTCTTTAATCTTAGTTGTGGAGGGTGCAGCAAGCTCAGCTCCAAGTCCGGTCGCCATGTGGACTCCCGTAAGCAGCTCGTGGCCACTCAGCTCAAAGTGCTGTGTTAAATCTTAGTTGCGGCATAGCCACCATCCCATGTGGGAGTCCAACCAGCAACCTTGTTGTTAGGAGCACGTGCTGTCACCAGCTGAGCCATCCTGCCACCTGTTGGCAGCTCAGCTTGGGCGCAGCTCACTGGCCAGGTGGGAATTGAACCGGCGACCCTGTTGCGCAGAGCTTGCGCTCTTAACCAGCTGAGTCACTCTGCTGGCCTGGGATTGTTTTCTTTTTCCCTTTTTTTTTTTAAAGACTTTTATTGGGGAATTGGGGAAGGGGAACATTGTGTTTTTCCAGGACCCATCAGCTCCAAGTGAAGTTGTCATTCAATCTTAGTTGTGGAGGGCGCAGCTAGCTCAGCTTCAAGTCCAGTCACCATCAGGCCAACCGTCGGCAGCTCGCTGCTGCTCAGTTCAAGGTGCTGTGTTCAATCTTAGTTACAGGTGGGTGCAGCCCACCATCCCATGCGGGAGTTGTATCGGCATCCTTACTGCTAAGAGCACGCGTTCTCACCAGCTCTGCGGCAGCTCAGCTCACTGGCCCATGTGGGAATCGAACCGGCGACCCTGCTGCTCAGAGCTCGCGCTCTTAAGCCAACTCTTAACCAACTGAGCTGCTCCACTGGCCCCTGGGATTGTTTTCTTAATTTGCTCTTTCTGACAGTTTATTATTGGCGTATAAAAATAGAACTAATTTCTGAATATTAATTTTGTATCCTGCTGCTTTACTAAATTCATTTATCAGTTATAATAGTTTTTCTGTGGAATTTTTGGGGTTCNGCGGGGCAGCGCGGGGGCTCCGGCGCCGGCGGCTTTGGCGGCGGCCGGGCCCGGGGCCGCCCCGTCCGCAGTGGGCCCAGCATGGATGAGGCGGCGGCCTTGGTGGCGGCGCGGCTGGGTTGGGGACCGGCGCGGGCCTGCGGGGACGCGGGCGAGGACGGCGCCGACGAGGCAGGTGGGTCCGGCCGGCCGCCAGTGACCACGTCCCCAGGGCCTTTCTCCCTCGGCGACCTTGGGCTACTGGAGAGGCAGGCGAAGCTTCCCTGGTGTCCGTCACCCGCGCAGGGCGATGTTTCGCAAGACAGCTGACCCTGCCGCCTCTGAGCTCGTTAAGCAACGAGTGCTCAAGTTTTGCAGTCAGACCGCCTGGGTTTTAACCCAGGTTTTGCCCGGTGCGCTGCAGCCTTGAGATAAGTGCTTAGCCTCCCTGAGCCTCAGCCGCCTGTTGGTGAACAGGAGGGTTAAGTGTGAGAGTGCCTGGTCCCGCCTGGCAGGGGGCATGAGCCGGACCGTGCCCTCTGCCTTCCCAAGTGCTGTGGACGCTCAGCTCCACGCGGCCCTCCTCTAATCCGCCCGGCGGCACCCAAGACGCTCTGGGAGGTGGAGAGCGTGGACACGGCCCCTTCTCTTCTGGTCTCAGAGCGCGTGCAAGGGAATGAAGTTTCTAGCCTTGCTTCCGAAATCACATAGTTGTGGAGGCATGTATTCAAACAATTTTTAGAGTTTTTTTGAGAAATTTTTTTACTGAGCTGTAATTGATATATTACATTATATTGGTTTCAGGCATACAACATAATAATTCAACATTTGTATATATTGTGACATGACCACCACAGTAAGTCTAGTTAACATCTGTCACTACACACAGTTACAGAATGTTTTTCCTCTAATGAGAACTTTAAAGATTTACTCTCTCAGCAGCTTTTTAAATGACTAGTTTAAGGTGTATAAAACAATATACCGATTAAACATTTACACCCCTCACAAAGTGATCACCCCAACAAGTCTACTATCCATCTGACACCGTACAAAGCTATTACAGTACCATTGACTGTTTCCCTATGCTGCACTTTACATTCTATGACATATATACACACAGACACACATATATATATTTAGTTATAGTTGATATTCAATATTACTTTATATTAATTTCAGGTGTACAGCACAGTGGTTAGGCATTTATATAATTTAAGAAGTGATCCCCCCCCAATAAGTCTAGTACCCACCTGGTACCATGCATGGTTTTTACATTGTTGACTATTTCCCATACTGTATCTCACATCCCTGTGACTATTTCGTAACAACCAATTTGTACTTCCTAATCCCGTCACCTTTCTCACCCACACTCCCAGCCCCCCTCCCCTCGGGCAACCATCAGTTTGTTCTCTGCATCTGAATGTTTCTGTTTTGTTTGTTTATTCAGTTCTTTAGAGTCCACATGTAAGTGAGATCATGTGGAATTTGTTTTTCTCTGTCTTTTCACTTAGTGTAATACTCTGTAAGTCTATCCATGTTGTTGCAAATGGTAAGATTTCATTCTTTATTGTGGCCGAGTAATATTCCATTGTATAAG